GGCACGGAGCTTCGGGCGGACTTGGGGTAGAGGACTTGGCACTAAAACCCAGCACAGCTGTCCGTCACGGTGCAGAGCATCTTAGGTACAAACGTTCCAAAAGTGTATTCTGATAAGAAGCAGGTTACCTTCCTAGTTGCTTTAGCCAAGACTTTAACCATGGCCCGCTGTCCGTTTGCTAGGGTTCTAGTTTTATGTCTTGATTCTTTATAGGGCGAGTATATGGACCTTCATCATTTTCCCAATTTCCCCAGGTGCCACCTTGGAAAAGAGTTTCCAGAACCGGATCTGGTATTTGTTTCTGTCCCAATGTATTTGAAAAAATCTGTTGGCAGAACCGCGGTCAATCACCCAACACGAGTTGCCTCTATGATGATTCGCGCAGAGCTCAAGAAACTGGGGATTCTGGATTCTAAGCTGTCTGGGTGTGCTGAAGTCGCAACTTTTTTGGAAGCCGATGCCCTCCTTGGGGATTTGTACGCGAAGCATCCGGTCACCGTGAAGGCTTTTGAGCAGGGATTCAAGCGCGAGCAGGTAGTCCCCATCTCAGTGTATTTCGATGGAGTACAATACAGCAAGAATGAGAATTTCCTAGGGTTCTACGTGACCAATCTTCGCACTGGAAAGCAGCGCTTATTGTGGTTGTTACGTGCCTAAGCTTATTTCGATGCATAGTAATAAGTAAGGGCCTCCTTCTTTGGGTATGGTTTGCGTTTTGTTCATGTTTTATCTAACAGCTGACTTCAGGAAGCTCAGAGCTGTGTGGGTGCGGGTGCAGAGGATGGTGCTCAGTTTTCCCCTTGTTAGAAGCATTCCGGGCTGATGTTTCAATGGACCATGCTGATCTGCGACTTCCAGTGATTGATTACAAGGCTGATTGGCCAGCGCTTGTTGAACTCACAGGCCTTCGCACGTGGTCGCATTCATTGCACCCCTGCCCTTGCTGCTTGATCAAACAAAAGGATTTGTACAAGCTTGGGGGGTTTACGCAGAGGACGTGCTCGCATGAATTATTCGACAAGACTTTGTACGAGGCAGCGGTCGACTCCAGCTTTAGAGACACTTTCTTTTATTCCAAAAGCCTACATGTTCTTTGGTGTCTTTCTAGTCAGAAACATCATATAGATATAGGGTGTAAGCTTCAGTTTTAAAGGCCACGGGATTCCGGTTTCTGTAAGCATGCGAGGATGTTCAAATTTTGGATGCGGAGATGCAGCATTCTTTTTACAGGCTGTTGGTCTACCGCAAGAAAGGCCGTGGGCGCTGCCTCAAAGAAGGTTTCATGGGTCTCCCTCGGGGTGCTAGGCTAGAACCCTCTACAACGCTCCCGGACGTGGGGACATTTGAAAGTATGACGCCCCCTTTCCGCTGCACTTTCTATACAGGCGGCCCTCACGGTCGTGTCTTACACAAATCACCATTCCTCGCCATTCCCGGGGTGGAATTAAGTAGCTGGTGTATCGATTTGTTACACAGCTGGCACTACGGTCCCATGTCGACGTACTTGGCCTTCACTATTCGTGCATTGCTTACGAGCCCAATATTCCGCCATGGGATCGCAGCTCTGCTAGAGAGAGAGGAATGCGACAAATTATGCTTGCTGGCGTTGAAAGCCGAGCTTTGGACCTACTACAAGCGCAGACGAGAGACAGATCCAGGGTGGAGCAAGAAAGGGTCTGAGGTAGGGCAATTGTTGTAATTACTCAGCTATACTCAGTTATATAGAACATTTGTAGCAGGTTCCGTAGTTGTTGTTGTTGATAGGGGAAACGCCTGTATGGAGTTATAACAGAAGCAATTGGCCCCGTTTCTGGTATAGGAGAAGACCTTTGCATATGTTGCCGCGGAACCCTGGGAATTCCTTATCCTCCTCTGCCACCAACCCCTTTAGGTATGGAACCTCACTTTGACAATGATTGCAGAGCGGCAGTTGAAGTGCAAAGCGGCCGAGACCCATGGTTTGCTTCAGTTTGCTGTCGAAATGCTGATGAAGCACGAGTGTACTTTGAATGCGAATGTGGACCCGGCAAAGCAAATGCAATTCAAGCTGTTAAAGCTAGCGGGGAAGGCTGCTCTAGCTTTTGACGAAATCCTTGCAAAGCACACTCGCCAAATTGGGGACTCTGAATTGTTGGAGCTCTACAACCGCTACAATGAGTTTGTGCATCTCTCGGCCAGAGCAGGGGTTTCCACAAGTCCGAAAACACATCTTATGTACCATTGCATTCACAGAGCCTTTGAAAGGGGGAATCCCCGAGCGTACACCACATATGTGGATGAATCATACAACGGGGCAATTGCAAAAGTGTGCCGTTC